TAGTGTTCCATGTCTAGTCGCGCTGGCCACGCAACCATGGAAACTGTCTATGGACAAAACGCTGGCTCTATGGCTTGGAAACGGAGATGAGCACCACCCCCTAGAGTTGGACACAACTGCACTAAATGTCAAGGGGAAACTTTACCTTTACCTCCTGGGTTGAAAAGCTTCCCATTGTTCTTTAATATATTCATGGCCTCAGCAAAATTATCTTAATGAGAGATAAATATTGCTTGCTGTTTTTACACAGATACATTTTATATGCTTAAACAACAACAGCTTTATCTGTTGGTGACATCTTCCGATATATGGTTGCTTTTTAAAGTTGCAGACATGGATCTTCCAAAGTTATACACTTCAGATTTTATGGGATCGCCTTGCACTTTCAGAGGTTGAAAGAAAATTAAAGCTAATGGTCCATGTACAAATGCCATGAACTATCTTACACAGGCTAGTTCCTCTTCCGTTTTTACCATTGTCTCTTTTCCTTCTTACCAGTCCATTAACCTTCAGTTATGAAAAAGTACAGGGAACGTAAACAAATACTTTCTTTTTGAAGACTGTTCACATTGCATTTTAGTATGTCAGAGTCCTCAAATTGTGATCTTTCATATTCTCTCTGGAGAAAAACTTGACACAGAAGCTCAACATTACCAAGGATGGTGGCTGTGAAGGCATCTCCCAGGCTTTTTCTTCATCCAACATAAAGAGGTGTTCTAGTTACTCTAGTTTGTCTCTGTCACTTTGCAGAGATCCGTTAACTGAAGGACAACAATCTCAAAACCTCACAACTCAAAATATTTAAGAGGAGGTGGTGATTTGGTGACTTGCTGCATACTGTTTAACTTTAGGGCCAAAGATATAATTAGTGATCTGTAAACCGGTGCACAACTGTTTTATCTGGCTCATTTATAACTGCCTGATAGCGATTTTTCAGTTTGCCCTAAATGCTGAGCCACTGAGTTTGTCGCATTTAAGCAGAACAGAATATGAATGATGGGAGTGTCAGCTTGAAGTGCAGGTCGCGTTAGAATCCTCTCAGCATGTGTTCTCTTCAGAGGAAAAAAATTGTGTCCAGCAATAGTCTTCTGAATATCTGGGGAATTACATCCTGTAATCCCCAATCCATCTCATTCTCTCAAGTGATAAAATTTATGAAAAGGAAATGCACATGTGGGATTAGGAGCACACCTGGCTTCTTATTACACTGTGTTGATACCTGGTATTACTGCTGTAGACAGCCACTGCCCCCTCCATCATCTGCCAACATCTAGGTTCCCTCTAAGCTGGGCACATGCAACTCCACCTCCCTCCACACAGCTCTTTTCCTCCTCCGCGCAGCGATTGTGTTTAACTCCTTTGGTTCGAGTTGCAACAGAACACTGCGTGTGGGTGGGAAGATGGAGTCATGCGCGCACGCAAGGGTGAAGTCGCGTGCACAAGAGAGTACATTGGCCAACATTCCAAAAAAAGAGAAAGTTAATAGATTATACACGCATGCAAATTTGGTTGCATGGATGTGTTTATGGAATTTACAAAGGTCCTGGCTCTTCTATAACATGTGCTGCGCTCTCCATACTATGCATTCACATTACTCATGACCATTAAGATATAAGGATAAATGTAATGCAAGCAAATAAGGGCTGCTTTACTGTAATAAGGCATTAAGCTTTGAGTATTGAAACTCTTGCTAACCTTACCAGGGTCATCATTAGCTCACTACATTATTTTAGCCAAGTTACCATTTCTTAGCCTCCCAGTCTATTGTATAATGATGGCCATCTTTCTCCAAAGATGATAGGTATTACTGAAATAGTTTGCACTTGAACAGTTACAACCTTGAACAAATGCAAAGGTAGAACATCTTTTGAATGGCTGGGCTGGGATCCTTTTAGAAATGGATTTATTTTTCCTTTTGACTGAATGGAGACATTCTTTAGCAGAGGCTATTATTTTAAAAACTGACAAAAGCATTTGAAATGTGGAATGATCACAGGATGCTAAGCATTTCTTGGTTTGAGTGATGTATGAACAAGTGTTAAGATGAAGGAATAAAGACCCAGAAGTCGTAAGATGCAGAAAACTACAATACTGTGGTCATATAATGAGAGATAAAAAAATGCGAAATGTTACAGCTGATCTTTCAATGTATAGTAAACAAGAAAAGAAATGTGGCAAAAAGAAGAATTTATTGCTTAAGAACCTGGGCCACTGATTTGGATGTAACTCAATGCCCTTGTGTAGAACTCCAACATCAAAAATCAGTGTACCTGCACAGGATCTGGCAGGAGAGCAAAAAGAAGGAAACATTCTTAAGATCCTGGAGAAGCTACTTATAGCTTATGTTTAGAAAATTGTGATTTATGGTATATTTAAAGCCATGCTTATATCTGGAGTAGAACAGAAGAGTAGAAGTCATATTTATTTACTGTCTGGTCTCTGGTCATACAGTGTCTGCAGTTGCAGTTCTCTGGAAAAAAATGTATCCGATTCAAAATTTTAAATAAAGTGACTAGCCTGTGCATTTAATGGGGTATGTAATCCTGTTAGGAGCAAGGGACTTGCCATATTGCCTAATCTTGTATCCATTTACTAATTGGATGATTGCATCAAACTAGGTAAGCCAGGGCAACACAATCAATTATGGGAGATATTAATGCAGCCTCAACAGTGAATGACAAGAATAGTGTTCCTAAAGGTTGCTGAGCCTTGCAGGTTTTTTTTTTGTTTTCTTTTCTGCCCAATTGCTGCCAGTTCAGTTGGTTACCTCCTAAGCCGAAGGACCTAGGAAATCCAGAAACAGGTATATATACAGGCCCGGAAAGAAAGAACTAGAAACCGGGCCTTCTCAGCGGTGGCTCCTCGTCTCTGGAATAACCTACCTCTGGAGATTCGCGCTGCACCCTCGCTGGGTACTTTTAAGAACCAACTAAAAACCTCCATCATCTGCCAACATCTAGGTTCCCTGGAAAAAATGTATCCGATTCAAAATTTTAAAAAAGTGACTAGCCTGTGCATTTAATGGGATATGTAATCCAGTTAGGAGTAAGGGACTTGCCATATTGCCTAAACTTGTATCCATTTACTAATTGGATGATTGCATCAAACTAGGTAAGCCAGGGCAACACAATCAATTATGGGAGATGGCCTGTATATATACCTGTTTCTGGATTTCCTAGGTCCTTCGGCTTAGGAGGTAACCAACTGAACTGGCAGCAATTGGGCAGAAAAGAAAACAAATTAGGAGAATAAAGTCTCCTATTTCTCATTCAATCAAGACAGTATTAAAACGGTACGTCTAGGCTGTGAGGTAGGTTCATTTCAACTGGAAAATCTGTGTATGCAAATGTGTTAAAGCCAATTTACAAAAGAAAAAAAACCTGCAAGGCTCAGCAACCTGCAAGGCTCAGCTATACTACTCAGGTATATATATATATACCTGAGTAGTATAGCATATGCATTTGTCTCAGAATCTGGGTAGCAGAACTCAGAGGGGCTCACAGTCTCCACCACAGAAATCCACTCTTGAGTTACCCGGCCTTGGTTGATTTATCTAATTTTGTGTGAGAACATAGGTGGAATCATTTTGTAATTGTTAATGTTCAATAAGTGGGAGTCAGAGGTTGTAACTGGACCAGCAGATTACCTGGAGATCTACCAGCAGATCCATATTTGTTTTCTGCCCTGATATAGGAAGCTTTCTTCTCTGAAGAAAATTCACAAAACTAACATTTGTTTTGCTATGTTTTGATGCAGGAGACAAATGAAAATAATGGGACTGGGCAGAGACCATCACTAGCGCATACTACCAGTATAAGGAAGCAAAACGTTTGCCTCTGGTTGGTGCTGCTGGATCCAAAGGTATGTTCCATCTCATCTTGGGTCATAGTGTCCAGAGGGGTGTTGTATGCCGCTCCGGACTCATTTTTTGGGCAGCTTCTAGTCATATGTGACAAAGGAATAGCTGTCATAGCAAAAATTCCAAACAAGATTACTGTGAGATGGGACCCAGTGTTTCTCCTCTTAGGAAAACTGAGTTTTCTCAGCTTTGGCTGTGCTTATCTCTGTTTGAGGGCGAGGATCTCAGTTCTGCTATTCATCAACGAGTGGTCAATGTTTTGGCAAACACAGATTTATCTGCTAAAGCTGTGTGACATAAAACAGGAGGAAGGGATACCATCAACTACAAAATCTCAGTAATTGTAGGAAAATAATGTTAAAAAAGAATATTTTAATTTTATTTCATTTTCTAGCATAATCCACTGTGATTTTCATCACTCTGCTTAAAACTGACTATCCAATATGTAATTAAAGAGTTTCAGAAAACGTTATGGACGGGTCGCTGTCTAAGGACACAAATCTATTTCAGGATGGAATGACGAATTTCAGAAGTACAACAATCTGAAGATCACATTTGCAGTATAAATAAGTGGCAAGAGTTTTGTGGTGGGTTTTTTTTGTTGTTTTTTTTTTTGTAATGTCCAAATTTGGAAAATTGTGGTTACTACAAACCAGAAAATGGTCAGAATCTAGCTGAAGAATTGTACTGGTGTAAATCCATCAGCATAAATTTCAGTAGCAAATTGTTATTAGTTAAGTGTCAGTACAGGCATTGGTTTATGAGTGCCAGGTCACATCATTGTTGTGCGACACTAGATGACTACACTGACTTCTTAATTTTAAGAATTTACACCCATGGACTTATGCTGGCAGGTATAAGTAACAGGATTATGGACCGTGTTTCCAAACCATGCTTTGAAGTTGGTTCATCAGTTGGAGACACTTCTTGGTCCTTGCAAGTTGAATATCATTATAAAAAAAATGAAAGAACACCCTTTGTTTATAATTGTTAGACTCCACTCTGAAGATACCTGCAGTCTCCTTTCTTGGTGCAAGTCTCCTTTTCTATCAACCCCACCTTTCCCCAAAGATGTGTAGTAGACAATAACATTTCGATTGTCCATTTGTGCCTACAGGTGTCCTCTCATTTTGCCGAACCTGAACATTTCTGGCAGTTGCCACTATCCAGAAAAACACGTTTTGAGTCCAGTTTTGTGTGCTGTATCAATATGCTTGTAGACACACTTTGCCAGAATAGGAGATGCTTCTGGAACGGGTATACGCCTTGAGAAGGAGGTTTCAATCACTTCTGGTGAGTAGGAAAAGAATGAATGAGTGTAAGTATCCCATTTGTCAACTGCTCATCTCCTAAGGAAGGTTAGAAATGAAAATGAAGAGAATGGCAATCAACCATTTGCTTCCGCCTCTAAATTAAAGCTTTCCAAGTAGGGGCTCTTTGTTCTGCTAGTCAGCATGTGCACACCTTGTCCCAACTTGCCTTCCTTAACAGAGTTTTGTGTTGTGCTAGGGAGACCTGCAATTCTGAGCGATAACAGCATTTGCATCGCTCCTCAAACTCTGCGAAGGAGGTGGAGCAATTTATTTAATTCAGTTTTTACCCCACCCATCTAGCGACCAGGCCATTGCTCTGGGTGGCTTACAATGGGAATATCATCCGCAAAGCTAAGACTCAATAATAACGACAAATAAGACATTAAGCAAACAATTGCACAATAAAAGCCTTGTCTAAAAATACAACCTCTGTTTAGTGGTTTTCCGAAGAGTAATATATTGTTGTGAAGATTTTTTTAGAAGTGTAAAATGAAACTCCCACATGTAGCAATCAGGTAAATGTTGCAAATAATTTTAGAAAAAGGGGACATGAAAACCCTGCCCTTTCAAATAGTGAAGTCTCCTGTGTTCAATTAATTTCTCTTGTAATCTTTCCAGTTTGTTCCAGATGGGAACTGGAGCCTAGTACATTATTTTATATGGATAAATGTATCATCAGGAACTTCTAGAATCTGTAAAATTCTTTGTTGCCTTCCACTGACTTCCACAGTGTGACAAGTAAATGTATGTGCAGGGTGGCAGGGGCGGAATCAGACACGCAATCATCAAGAGCAACTGAGGATGCAGTGGAAGAACTAGTTTCGTCATTGTAGGGGTGGAGGGAATCCACATGGCATGTGGACACGCACTTGTTTGAGTTTATCACTTTAATCAATAAACCAGAAGAAGAGGAGGAATAGAAGCTAGAAACAATTCTCCAAGGACATGTTCAAGATGGTACAGTGTTGTGATGATCAGGCAGGTGTTTCAGTTCAACAATTCAGTCAGCTTTTTGTTTTGTTTTTTTCCCCACCACACTTTGTAATTGTGTGGTTAACAAAGGGTCCAGACCTGGCTACTTGGAACCTGCTGGACGAAAGGAGCCGGGAGAGTCAACCAGCATTCACTTGAAAGGCTATCCATCAAATAAGCAGGAATTCTTCCTGCGAGAGTCCAGCCAGCAACGTTGTAAATAAATTGCAAGAACAGAAGCAAACTGAAAGGCAGTTTTTACAGGGACAGCGATGTTATTCTGTTATAGCCAAGAAAACCCAAAGACTTGCTTGTGTTTACTACCACTCAGAGTGGCATTTTTTGCTCCTTTTTAGTATTTGGATATTAAAAATGCTCGGCTTTAATACTGCTTTTTAATGAGGCAAGCTGCCTCTTTGTACTCATTATTCTTAGCTTTAAATATTGTAAGCCACCTTGGGTCTTTTTTTTAAAGGTGGGGTAAAAATATTATCACTAACTAACTAACTAACTAACTAACTAACTAACTAACTAACTAACTAAATAAATAAATAAATAAATAAATAAAAGCTTGTGCTGTAGTGAAACAAAAGTGTTAAGTTGAAAGTTAAGTCATGTAGTGCCAAGGGCAATTCCCTGGTAGCAAGTACTGGAAAATTCTCATTTCACACCTTGGAAAGTCTGTGGTTGAACGGTGGATTATCAAGTGGCCAAGCCCCTTTCTGAAGAAACTGGGCAGGCATCCCACCCCTCCACCCTCCAATAAGGGGGCTTGGAAACTTGGTAATCCTTTTCACAGAATCATCACATTTCTCAGAAGGAAATATGTAAATAAGGGTACAGATGTGTTTGAGTCTTAAATAATTCTCCTCTTCCTAGTGAGAATCATTAAAAGAAGCATGTGAGGGGTGTTTTAATTATCTGGAGGATGAACATCAATTTAAATACAGTACAGCTACAGGGCAATTTAATGAATTAACTGTCGTTTTCCCGCCTTCAGATGGGTGCGAAGAGGGGGAGAGGGAATGTAAACCAGACTTGATTTTGTTCAAGCTTGCTAAGTCTGATTTAATAAACCATTGAAATAATTTAATTTTGCCTCACTGAAAAGGTTTAGCGTGGCATCCAACATTTTTCTTTCTTATTTTTAATACAACTTCTCACAGCAAGCAGAGAAGGAAAGTAATTACAGGAAAAACAAAAACGGATTAAATGACCTAGTTATTTCCCATTGCTTTTCAGATCCAACGTAATATTATGTGCCTCGGAAACAGGCCCCAAACCTTGCAGTTTCCAAAATGGTGTATGGTGAATTCTTCCACAGACCTGGACAAGATGAGGAGCTTGTCAACCTGAACGTAGGCGGCTTTAAGCAGTCCATTGGCCAAAGCACATTGCTCAGATTTCCCCATACGAGACTCGGGAAGTTGCTCACATGCCATTCAGAAGAGGCCATCTTGGAACTGTGCGATGACTACAGTGTTGCAGAGAAGGAATACTACTTCGACAGGAATCCTTCCTTGTTCAGATATGTGCTGAATTTTTACTACACGGGTAAACTCCATGTTATGGAAGAGCTCTGTGTCTTCTCCTTCTGTCAGGAAATAGAATACTGGGGGATCAACGAACTCTTCATTGACTCTTGCTGCAGCAACTGGTACCAGGAAAGAAAAGAAGAAGGTCCTGAGAAAGACTGGGACCACAAAAGCACTGCTGGAAGTCTAGACTCTTCTGATGAAGAGTCTTCCATGTTTGAGAAAGAGCTTGAGAAGTTTGACAAACAGTGGTTTGGGGACTTGCGCAAGAAAATATGGATCAGAATGGAGAACCCTGCCTCCTGTTTGTCAGCCAAACTGATCGCTGTTTCTTCCTTGAGTGTGGTCCTTGCGTCGATCGTTACCATGTGTATCCACAGCATGCCTGAATTCCAGAAACTAGATATCAACGAAAGAGAGATTGAAAATCCTGTTTTGGAGGTCGTGGAGATCATATGCATCGTCTGGTTCACCTCCGAGCTTATGATCAGGTTGGCTGCTGCTCCAAGTCAAAAAAAGTTCTGGAAGAACCCGCTGAACATTATTGACTTTGTCTCCATCATTCCATTCTATGCCACTTTGGCGGTGGATACAAAGGAAGAAGAAAGTGAAGACATTGAGAACATGGGGAAAGTGGTTCAGATCCTACGCTTAATGAGGATATTCCGTATACTGAAGTTGGCGAGGCATTCTGTTGGATTGCGGTCTTTGGGTGCAACTTTAAGGCACAGCTACCATGAGGTTGGACTACTGCTTTTGTTCTTGGCTGTTGGGATTTCTATTTTTTCTGTTCTCGTCTACTCAGTGGAAAAAGATGATGACACATCAGAGCTGCAAAGCATCCCAGTGTGCTGGTGGTGGGCCACAATTAGCATGACTACCGTTGGCTATGGAGACACCTTCCCTGTTACCCTGGCGGGAAAGCTTATAGGCACAACTTGCATTATCTGTGGAATATTAGTGGTGGCTCTTCCCATAACCATCATCTTCAACAAGTTTTCAAAATATTATCAGAAGCAGAAGGATATTGATACAGACCAGTGCAATAATGACCCCAAGCAGAAGACAAATGAGCTCCCTTATTTTAACATTAGGGATATTTATGCAAAAAAGATGCACTCCTTTATTTCTAGCCTTTCTTCAGTAGGAATTGTAGCCAACGATCAAGAGTCAACAGATGCCTCCAGTATCCAAGAGCTTGACGACGTTTATAATGCAACGTCTTTCCAGAATGGTACAGGAAAATGAATTGAATCTCTTTCTTTACTGTTTCCTTCTAATCTTAGCACAGCTTTTATAAAGAGCACTTAATTCTCAGGGTATTTAACAATCTGCCATATTAGGGCATTTTTGCTCTGGTGATGTAGCACATTCTTTAATGTTTAGATAAGGCTTAAGAATAGATAAGCTGTGTATAGTGGTTTAGTTTTTACATGACTGAAGGAAATGGTATTGAGTGTTTGTTCCAGCATCCAGGTCTGATAATCTTTTCAAGAATGTGTGGCTGGGATTGATTGCTTGGAAATAAGGAATTACTAGCACATAGGAAATGTGCCTTGGAGTAAATATTCCTGAGAATGAATGCAAAGGCATATGAAGTGAAATTGTGTTTGCTAAGAAGCCAAATACTCCTAAACTGGGGGGGGGGGGGACTGTTAGCATTTGAGATCAATATTCCATGCTGGGACTAGAGATAGGCTCAGTTGCGTAGCCATAGGAAGACTTTTCTTTGTTGTAAGAGATATCTCAGGCATTAAACAAAAGCAGCAAAAGGCATCTTTCTTGTGCTTCCTGTATAACATGCAAACTGTAGATCAAGGGTAGGCAACTTTGTGCAAGGTATTTTATACTATAACTCCCATGATCCCTCACCATTCATCATGCAGACTGCAAGTTATACTCCAAATCACTGAGAGAGGACCAGGTTACCTACACCTGGCACAGACTCTCTGGTGTTTTGCAAATATCTATGCATGAAGCTTGGATATCTGACCATTGGGAATAAGTGTATAATTGTTCCATGTGCCAGGTGTATGCCATCTCTGAATAATTCCTTTGTTGGAACACACCTCCCAGAATCTCCCAATCAGCACATCTGGCAGCTAGGTCAGCTGGGGAATTGGGGAGTTGTGATCCAAAAAAGTAACTTTTCCAAACTTTGATTGTGTTACCTTTGTTTCTTCTTTTTTCTAGTGTCTGAAAGTGACCTGAGCTATAGTTTGATATGGTGAATGTTGTGGGAGGGGAAGGCAAGCTATTATGTACCCTTATTATTCCTTCTAACGCAATGACTTAAATATTATCATTTTAATATAGTAGAATTGAAAGGAATCAAAAAAGCCATAGACCCTGGACTGTGATATAAAATTTACCTGCCAGCCCATACAAATCCAGATCACAACGTCTATTCACATTAGTAAAAGAAGTTGTAATGCAAAACCATGCCAGCAGAACAAATGGCTCCAGGTTAATTTAGCAAACAAATGGTATCAGTATTTGAAGCCTTGGATGTCTGCTTCTGTCTTGTAAAATATTTATATGATCCTGGGACTTCTTGAGTGAATCTAGCTTTGCACCTAATTTAAGCATCATCATTGTTGAACTTAATTTCTGGTTTAGAAGAGCACAGAGATTCCTAAGCCTCTTGAGCCATGGACTATGTTGGGCAGACAAGATGACAGGGATTGCCCCTGCTTTTGGGCTCAGGTTTCTAGCCTTAGTGTACTTCCTTTATTTTGGTGATTCTGTCAGGATATGTGATAGCACAAATGAGGAATTAGTTCCACACACTACTCATCCTGTTGAAAAGCCTACTCTATAAATGGAATTGGGATGCTATCCTGTTTGTCCGTGATATAGTATAAGCAGAAATTTTAACAGTCCAACTTGGGCAGACAGAAAAGTGGGTAGGATTTCCTGCAGTCCCTTGAAGGATGTTTAATTACCATATGTAATGGAACATTTTATAACTACAGCAGGAACTTTTCTGAGCGGTAGAACCTACTGCTGAGGAGATTTGCTGGTGTGCACAAAACTTGGGCACACCAAAAATGGCAGAAAATGGCAGTATGCTCTTCTTCCATTTAAAACAGTGGAGTTACTTGGCTGAAACCCAACAGCTTAACCAAAGACCCTCCTTTGGCAGCTGTTCTGGATCTCATTCCCATGGAGTGGAACCCTATTGGTATAATTTGTCATGGCTAATTGCTGACAGGAGGGCCTGGTGTTCTCTGGTCCATGGGGTCACATGACTTAATGACTAAACAACAACAAAAATTGCTGAGCTGTCAGGGTGCATCTCAGTTATAACATTGGGCATGTGATCAGACATATGCCCAAGGCATGCCCTGGTATCTTATCAATTAGCTGTGGCAAATTATGCAGACCTTATGCAAACACTAGTAGGATGCTAACTACTGTCTTTAAAGCAGACACCAAAATGCTAAAAAAGCACAGAACTGCTAAATTAAAATGCTGAGCTCAGTGTAATGATACAGAAATCATTGCAGAGTACTGACACACCATTCCAAAGCTATGCATTGCCATTTAGTGTTGCTAGCTGAGCCTTTGAAACAGGATGTAGGGATTCAGAAACCATCAGTCACTGTGAAGTGGACAGATATTCCATGGTTTTAGCCATGTGCAGAAGGTAAAATGCTCAATATGTCTTTATTTTCCAAGAACAGTTGCAGTGTTCTGATGCTGTCAGTAAGCTTTTCTGCTATAGAGTTTGAAAAGACATAAAAGGAACAGAATACAGTCTAAAAATGTAGGCACTAGTGAGGGTGAACCACATGCATGAATATATTCATATTTACATGTAGATGCGAACACTGGATCCAAGTCAAAGGAAAATATTGCAAAAGCCAAATGGCTATAGCCCTGTTTAGCCATTTGGCCTGAAAACATGGAGGAGGTACTGATCTGGGAATGCATGTAAGCCCCAGCACCCTACCTGGAAGTCACCTGAACTTCCAGGTAGGATGGTATAGAGGTCTGCAGAGGAGTCTCTGTTTGTGTTTCCGGTTCTAGGTGAGTGGGTTACAGATCATATATATGGTCTCATGTCTTTGCTTACGCTTTTAGTCTTCCATGCTGTCAGGCATAATACTTCAATAGGGCTTTACTATTTCCCCAAACTGTACAGATATCTCACAGTAGAGATTTTGAAGGATGTAGTCATTGAATTATTTCATTAATGATTAGCATAATAGTGCCCCCCCCCTTTTCAAACCAAAGGTGTGCCAGTTGTACCATACTTTATTTTTTGGAGAGCAAAATAGGTTTTTAAAAATGTGACATGCCGAAAGCCTTTTTTAATGCACCCCAAAGAAACTGCATTTCTTTACAAACAAATGTACGCACTTACCTCCTAAATTGCTTTGCTCACAAGCCACTCCTGTGCCCTAGATA